GCCAATCAAAAGGGTATACCGAACCGACACCCCCACTTTCCCATACCACCAAATTCCTGCAATGACAACAAGTTGAGACGTTGATATATCTGAATCCCGACATCACTTGCCGAGCTCTGGGTTCGGCTGCCTCAGCCCTGGTGCTTCTTTCCTCTGCCCTAAGCCCGCCAGGTCTAGCCTGTACTTAGCTTGTGACTAGGGGGGCACCTTTCACGTCACACGCACGCTTGCCCCCTCACGCACCGGCCCGCACAAACGCACGGACCCCTTTAGTTTGTCTTCTTGGCGTTTCCGTTTCCCTTGTGCTCCTGGCCCTCGACGTACGGGTGCTTGATGGTCAGGCACCAGATGTCGAGGTAGTCGCAGATGGTGACAATGACGTCGACGACGAAGCTGCCGTAGACGCCAATGGCCATGCCCAGCAGGCAGAACATAAAGGCGACCTGGTAGACGCCGTCGCCGAGGGCCGAGGGCCAGCCGAAGCCAAACGTCGACAGCAGCCAGGGGCCCAGGCTGTCGACGACGCCCCACGCCAGCGGCAGCGTCAGCACGTTGGTGTAGGGGAAGCGCAGCTGCACCAGGTGCGCCGTTATCATCTGCCCCACGCTGTAGGCGTTGACGATGCCGGCAAACATGACAAACGGCACCAGGTGGCCGTGCAGGATGTTGGGCTGCAGGTACAGGTACGCCAGGATGGTGGCCCACGTGCCGAAGAAGGGCAGGAGCCCGACGAGGGCGTAGCGGCTGCGGTCGCCCTGCGCCCGCCGCGCCTTGATGACGTTGCGCGCCGACTCGACCGTGTTGTAGACGAGCACGACGGTGCCCTGAACCATGTACCACTGCGTGAAGGAGAAGTCGTAGACAGAGTCGGCCATGAATTCGAACCGGGGCACGCCGAGCGTCGCCAGCATGGACCGCTGCCAGAACGAGGCGCCGCCCATGTAGCCCGTCAGCGCGTAGACGCACACGATGATGAGCACGCCCTCGACGGGCCCGTTGACGATGCCGAGCGTCAGCGTCTTGGTGTGATACTCGTCCCACGTCTGGACGTAGAAGGTCAGGAGGGCTGCGGGGGAGAAAAGGCGCGGCCTCATGTTAGCATGTATGTGACAACGCGATGCACTAGGGGGGGGAAATGGGCGGGGCGTCCATCATCGCGGCTGGGTGCGGCCCAACTAACGTACAGGAGAACAGCATCGCGACCGTGTACCAGCTCTGGCCCATGTTCTGCGAACCGGCAAAGAGCAGGACCTCGAGGGACGTGTTGAGGGCATCGACGCCATGGTCAAAGAGCTCGCCGAGGGGACCGCTCTGGTGGGTACGACGTCTGCGTCATGAGGAACAAGGAGAAAATATGTCAGCTAGGTGCCTGTTACTCAAGTGCCTGTCACTCAAGTGGAGGTGGGGGCGGGACCGTGGCCGGGGTACACTCACGCCTGGCTGCCGTCGACAGCGTCAAAGGTCTGGTACAGGAACAGGCCGACGGCCCAGCTGTAGTAGACCCAGGGCGGGCAGTCCTGGTCGAGGGTGGGGTTGTACCACAGCAGGGTGAGGAAGTTTGCCACGACAAAGGTGAAGCCGGTCAGGGTGATGAGGTTCGGGGCCATGGACATGGGGAACAGCTTGATGACCACGTTGGTGTAGAAGGGCTTGAGCACGTATTTGGAGATGAGAGAGTGGTCGACGCCCGAGTACTTGTACTGCCGGAGCGCCGGCAGCTGCTCCTGGCGAACGTAGACCATGGCGGCGGCTTTGCTGGGCTTTTGCTGGCTGTCTGGCTGGCTGGCTGGCTGGCTGGCTTGTTGTCCCTGTTTGTCGTCAATGCACGCTGAGCAGGGGAGGTGGTCGAGGGTTTGGGCGGATGGCGGGGAGGAGAAGAAAAAAAAAAAAGAGGATACGACACTAGAGAGGGGTTACGAAAACGGAAAGAGGGATGAACACGACGGCATCAAAGAACAAAAAAACCAGATGACACCGAGAAGGCGCGTTTGGTCGGCGCGACATTTGAACAGCAATGCCTTTAATTTTCCGTCCGCCTTCGCCTTGATAGGGTAGAGGGCAGCAGCAGGCTAGGGCTCCCCTGCAGTTCTCTCCTTCTCTTCGCTGGAACCACACGTCATTTGATCTCCCTTGTCTCTTTCCTGATTGGGCGATGCCTCCACCACCAAATCCGTCGTCAACAAATTGGATGTTGGGCAGAGCTCAGCTCAGTCAATGTATTTTGGCTTGTGACAGCCCACAGCGGCAGCTTAGCTCTCCCCCCACTCTGCCTCTGCAGGTCATGCGAGAGGCCGGCGTGGGGTGGGCCTGAATCCGTCCATGCATGAGCTGGTAAAGCCCAGCGTTCTTGAAGTGTGAGCCGTTGTCACAGTAGATGGAGTCTGGCCATCCAACAATCGGAGACCACTGCCTTAGCCATGTTTGAGCCACGGCGTGCCCATCCGCCTCCTTGCATGCAGCCGACGTGGTGAACTTGCTAAAGTAGTCCATAGCGATAAGGATGTTACCGAGAGCCGTTAGTCGCCGGAGGATTTATGGGGCCCATAAAGTCCATCCCGACAACCCTGAAAGGGCTAAAAACGGTGGACTTCCCATGAAGTCGAAATGCGCGTGGACCGCACCTTTGGCAGGCAGGACATTTCCGGCACGTCTTCGCAACATCCGCCGAACGAGTTGGCCACCAGTATTTCCTTTGGAGATTGTTCGCCATGATAGTTTTGGAAAAATGTCTACAGGAATCGTGGGCCCACTTCAGGATTTTATCCACTTGAGCCGCAGTAATGCACCTGGCGAAACTCTCGTCGGTCTCGAGTCTGTAAAAAACTCCATCGAGGATGCGGAACTTGAAAAAGCGCATGATCGCCAGGCGTCGTCGGTGCTTGGGGAAATCCTCGAGGGCCTGGGTTCCCGCTGTGAGGAACAGGATGATGTCCTGGTACCAAGGCTCAAACCCCAATGCCATGTCTAAGGGAGCCGCCTCATCTTTCGGAGAGTTTTGAGCTGATATGACTGGGCAGATGAGCTGACACGGAGGACCCCAGGGGAGAAACATAGTGGGCGCCCTCGCCACTGTCGCCACCGTGAGAGCAGCTGCTGGGTGCTGCATTGTTCCATCTCGATACCAAAGGCCTATCAGACAAATAGCTACCTGGTGAACAAAGAAACAACTCTAACGAGGTATAAGTGCATTGTTTCCTCTTCTTTCGTGTTTCTCGGTTGGCTGTTATGGGCGGTAACATGCAAGTATATAAACTACTCCCCAGTCCTCATCATCATGACCATAACTATCCAAACCACCAGCACCCAGAACAACCACCCAGAACAACACCCAGAACAACCGCCATAACCGACAGCCCATCCATTCAGCTTGCATCCATTCAACTTGCCTCATCCCTACACTACTCCGGCCTACAATAGCTACAGGTACGACGAGACCCACCCCAGCCAACTACAATGTCGTTCGCATCCATGGATCAGAGTCTGCGCGCACTCACAATTCATGAACTGAGCAACATGGTGTACTACGACAAGTTTAGCCTGGCGAGGCAGCTCCAACCGGGAACCATGATAGAGCAGCGCGCGGCTGTTTTCGAGGTTTGGGTGAGCCTTTTGTGTTCCTTTGCCGAGCGGGGATTGTCCCTGGACCGGTCCCTCAACGAGAGCTCCCGCAACCGGCTCAAGTCCACCCTGGTTGCCATCGTATACGCCCTGAGCGATTATGTTATGGACCATTCGCCGGCCGGTGCGGCCGTCGACGGCCGCGGCCGTGATCCGACGCTCCGGAATCTCGACGACGCCCTCGCCGAGTGGATCGCGTGGCTTCGCCCGCTGGGCGACGAGAGCGACGAGGTGACAGACCTGATGGCCGCCTGGAAGCCGTTTGTCAACGCCGGCGACGAGCTGGCCGGCCTAATGAAGGGCTTGGGGATCTAAGCCCCCTGGGTCCCTGAGTCCCTGGGTTGGTTGGCATGGTGGCAGATCCCCTCTGCTTGCGCGGGTGGGCACTAACTAGCCCGCTGCGCTTGCTTTCCTGCCATTCTCTGCCCGCTCCGCCTCTGACTGCTCCGCGCCCTCTGACTGCTCCGCCGCTGACCCGCTCCGCCCGCCCGTGACTACACGCTAGTCGTGATTCTCTGGCGGTATCAAGTTCGGCACTTGGACTACACCCCTCTTTCATGACCCCGGAATAATCTATCGCACTTGTTTACACACTGAAGCTCACCATGTCTCTTGAGAGGACCTTTAACTGAAAAGGCTGCCTTGCCCAGGCTGCCCTGCCCTTTAACTGAGAAGGCTGCCTTGCCCAGGCCGCCCTGCCCAAAGTAAGTCATCCATTGTATACCATCATCCCTTTGACCCTGCTCCCGGCCCAGCCCTTTTATCTCTTTTAGTTTATCCACCATTGCCTTTGGGAGCACCGCGGGGAATAGTAGTTGCATACACTCAATAAACAGTCCTTTTTTTTCCTTCTAAATAGTTTCAATGCCCTCCTCCTTTTTTTTCCTTCTAAATAGTTTCAATGCCCTCCTCCCTATTACCCGATAATCAAGACAGTTTGGCCCACGTGCCCCCAGAGGGCCGGCCATGTGGTATCAGGAACCGCACCGTCGGCCGGGCCTTTTTAGTCTCGGCTAGGGGGTACTTTGGCCTGGCGCCGGCCGGCGCGGTTTCGGGGGACTGCATATACGTGCTGGCCGGCGGTCGACCCGCCTACGTTTTGCGTCCCTTGGAGGTGCCGACCCCCCAAGGCGACTGCGACTCGGTCCCGGCCATGACACTGGTGGGTGAGTGTTATGTCCAGGGGATCATGCGAGGAGAAGCTGTCAAAGAGGTGGACGAGGGTACACGCAAGTTTGAGCCGATGGTTTTGCTATGATGGTAGGATATTTGCCATGTTTTGCTTAATAGGACAAGGAAAATACAAACCTATTCCGCAGATTGTCCGTGATGGCAATTTTGTGGTGAAATAAACACGAGCATAAGGGAAACTAAAGTTGAGTGATATTTCGTAGCTAAAAAACGAAGTGCTGGGCACCACTACTTCAGCCCTTTTCGGTAGCTTCTTGCTTCCCCAGCACTTGAAGCAAAGCTTTACCCCTTAATTCGGTCACTCTGTGGGACTGGCGGCTTTTGACCAGGGCACAACGAGACAGAAAGATGTTCGACTACTAACGAATGCTCCGGCAAAAAGGCGTCCTCGTGCCCTCCGGCCAGGGAGGGGAAAGTGGAGTGAGGTGTAATGGTGACATATGAGAAAACATAAGGGAAGACGCTTAGGAAATGTGGTTTTGTAGGAGCGCCATTACTTTGGGGTGGTGCCGGCGTTTACCGCTGGTGGGCGGTTGCCTAACCGTGTGGTTGCGTGGGTGGGAGGGCGCGCAGCGTTTTCGGCCTCCACGTTTTGTCTCTGGGTGCGGCGTGTTTCCGGACCGGTATGGGGATCGTGGTGGCCGTCTTTGTTGCCGTTTTCGTTTGTCTTTGTTAGGCTGGTGCCCGGGAGGGTCGCCACCCCACCCGTTCCCTTCCCTTTATCACGCCTGCTCCTCTCTTTTTCCCTTCCTTCCTCCTCTTCTTCTTCAACCCTCTTCTTTCCTCGCCGAGTCTTCTTTAACAATCTGTTAGTGAAAAGGGATTTTTTTGCGAGGGAAAATCCGCATTGTTTGCCGCAATTTCGCGACCCAACACCCAACAGCAGCCGCTGCGTCGGAGCTGCCACACACCAACGCAATTGACCAAGTCCACGATTCAGCCGGCCGGCCTGGATTCTGTCCTGCAGACACTGCGCCGCTTCCGGACTTGGGCTGCAATTGCAACTGCGAGGATGGTCAAAAAACGCTCACCCAATCATCGCTCCTCACCCCCTCCGTCACCATGCCAGAAGAGAACGAGGCTGCCACCGCCCGACCAGAACCCTGCCGACGCGCATCCGCGAGAAATGGCAGCCGGCCCCAGCGTGGGCGACGCGGGGGCCCTTCGCAGCATGCCCTCGGACTCGCCATCTCAGGATGTAGCGCGCGATAAGGATGGAGGAGGCCCTTTGTTTGGTGTAGCCTCACTAATCGGGCGCTGGAGTGACCACCGGTCCTACGACCAGCACGACCCGGCCTCGTATGTTCCCTTTTCTCGCCATCCTTGGTGGGAACCACCCGCCGAGCCTTACAGGCCGAGCAATCCGTATCGCCCTGGACTGAAACTTGCCATTTACCGCCACGAGCCTCCACCTCCGCTTCGGCAGATGGGCCACGAGCCCTACCCAGACCCTTTTGGGATGCGGTCTGCCGTGCACGAGGCTTTGAAGAAAATGACACTCGTCGATCTGTGTTTGGCTCATCCCCCAATGGAAGGCGTGGCCCACGAGGACGATACCCACCAGCTCCAAGTGGTCGAAGAGATCGCGGTTCAGGACGATCACGGTGCCCAGGTTGTCGTCTGTCGTCTCGATGACGACCCGACCAAGACCTACGTGGCCAAGGTTTTCGACCCGCTGTACTACATGTTCAACGAGGTTCCTGAGGGGCATTACCCGCGCGACACCGTCTTCCACGCAGACGCGGACTACAGTTGCGAGGCGGCTGCGTTCGAGGAGCTCAAAAACACGCGCCTGCCCGGCAAAGAGATACCGGATTACCACGGATGCTGGACCTTCAACATCAGCCTCGAACTGCCTGCGCCCCAGGGGATCCAAGTACGCGCCGTCCGCCTGGTGCTAATGGAGCACATCGACGGCGCAATCACCATGCTAGACGCCGACCCCGATGAATACTCTGACGACAGTCGATTGGACATTGTCGCGCGCGTTTTCGAGGCCGAGGCGGCTTGCATCAACCGTGGGATCCTGCATGGCGACGTCAGTCCGCGCAACGTCCTCATCAAAAACAGCAGCGACCCGGAAAGCGACCATGCGTATCGCGTGGTTCTCTTGGACTTCAACATGGCCGAGATTATCCGCCCCCGTCGGCCCTCCGAGTTCAAAGATGATCCCGGCGACCATGGCGATTCCCCCCGGGCATCGCGACAGTACGGCCCCACCAGGCCCCCTGTCCATCCGGCGCGGCGGATGTGGAACAGCTGGGAGCTCTTCTTGGGAGAGTTCCACAACTGGATGCCCAGAACCTGGAAGCACTCCCAGAGGCAGTTCAACGAGTGGCTTCTCACTCAGTGGGGAAACTCGGCCGAGTGGAAAACTATATGGGAGGTGGTCAAGGATACCCTGCCGCCCCATAGAGACTCTCCCAACATGTCCGACGAAGAACGCGAAGACTCTCCCGAAGAAGGCAACAGGAAAGTGCCAATTCGCGGGCCTTTTTGGTCACTCGGTGAGCCTGTTGACATCAGTGACACTGGCGACGGGCATTCGGTGACCCTGGCGACAGGCCTCGGTGACCTCGGTGACCCTGGCGACAGACATTCGGTGACCCTGGCGACAGGCCTCGGTGACCCTGGCGACAAAGGATATGCCAGCGATGATGAGCTGAAACTCAGGGAAGGGGTGGACCCGAACGACCCGGACGACCCTGACGAACCACGTGCTCCGCGGCAACCAGGTCACAACGGGCAAGGCAAGCCATGACGGCCACTCTGACAGCGGGAATGCGGATGGCGGGGAGAAGCGGCCTGGGTACGGCGACGACGACAAAGAGGAAAGCCCGCGCGGTCCGAGTGCTTCAGCCTTGTCGGAACTGCCTCGGACCCATTTGCCATTGATGATTCAGGTTACCCCACGCCGGCCTCTCGCATGGCCTGACCGAGGGGGAGGAGCCAAGCTGCCGTTGCGGGCTGTTATGGAATCGGGTGCCGCTACGTGCTGGTCGTACATGGTCTGACGGTAGAGGAGCATAGTAAACGGCGCCGGCGGTTTAACACCGACCCGGCACCGTCGCAGGGTTTTCCTCCCTAGGCACTACCCAAGGGTTTCCCCCACGCATCACCATAGCAGTTAGCACCGAGGTCTCGCCTATAGATAAAACAGGGTATAAATAAATAATAAGATTGTTAAGGAAAAAGGTACTTTTACACGTTTTGGCCCGCAAAAGGTACAATCCCAGTAGCCGCGTTTTTCCCCAAGTCCTAGTGTTACGGTACGCGTCGGGACACCTAGGAAGGAACCTGAGGCCGCATTCCTAGCGCGCTGACGCTACGCTCGCCAGGGGCGCTTTGTCCAGATAGCTGCAACAACAAAGCCTTCTCTTTGATATCTAGGTTGCACCCGTGGCACCTAGAGTTGGTTAGAAGTAGATAGATGGAAAAAGAAGCCAGTAGCCGCGTTTTTCCCAAGTCCTAGAGTTGGTTAGTAGTAGATATATAGAAAAAGAAGTGATCCCTGACACCATGCCCTTTTAACACAAGTAACTCAAGCTACATCCTTCCTCTGTTTCGCCTCGAACATCCCTATCCTGCTGTTTTGACAAGCAACCAGAACCACCCCTCAAGCGTTTCCAAACGAACATCATGTCTCAGCAGCCCACCGTTTGGGAGTCCTTCGAAAGAGAGGTCGAGATCCTCTGCCCCAAACCCACCACCAAAAGGCCGCCGATGGCACTAGAGAATCGTGGACGGTCCACCATTGCAGCCCAGCCCCCTACCGTCTGGTTCGAGAGAGATGCCAGGGGCTACACCGACCGAAGCGACCACTTTCTGCACTCGAACCAGTTTTTGGCCGATCAGCTTTCTCGCACGAACCTCTACCGCGCTTATCTCAGCCCCGTCCTGGTGTCGGAAGCCGATATCGTCCACTGCTCCAGCATTTGGTTCATTCACCCTGTTATTATGGCCTTGCAAGCGGTTTATCCCCAGGTCCAATGCCTCTCCGAAGTCCATAGGGCTCCCAGGGGCGAGGGCAGCACCCGCTGCGATATGTTGATTCGGATTGGGGGCACAGACGTCGTGGTAATCGAGTATAAAAACCGCGGTTACCTCGACGAGGATGAGTTCTTCAGGGGGGTTTGTCCCAATCCTACAGCCCGGAACGTCGAGAGTCTCGAGACCTTCCGCAACGAATTCGAGGGCGAGGTCGCCAAGTACCGCGAATGGTCTAAACTTGATAAGAAGAACCACGGGACTGCACTCGGCCACAACGCCGCCATCATCACCAAGCAAGCAATGGCATATGCGAGGAAGCACGAAACTCGGCACGTCGCATTGTTCGACTGGGACACCCTCTTCCTGTGGAACTCTGCCGGCTATACAACTTCCGACCACTCGTGGGCCTACGGTAGCTGGATTACTCAAAGGGATCTTTTCCGCAAGGCGCTGCTGGGCTTTATCTTGGAGGCCAAGGCCGAGCTGGACAGCCTGGGCGCTAGGCCCGTGCCACCGCCTTGGGAGCCCACCCAGGAGGAGTGGGCCGCGAGTTCTCGCCGCCGCTAAGACAACGGCTGCACCTCTGCCGCCCCGGGCGTTCCTGAGCTGTCCCTCCTGACCGTTTACGGTCTGGACTTTAGCGGCATCGAGCATGTCGACATTGGACTTTATGGTAAGGACAAAACTTCCTTTTTTGATATAAATCTTTCAACTAACCACCCAACCACCCCAACAGGCCTTTGCATCAGGACTTTTTACAGCCTTAACTGCCGCCCTACGGCCGGCTACGATATCGGCGCCCTCGTCGACTCGTTCCACCCGCCGCCCAACGGCACCATATCGCCGAACCTCTACCTCCTCCTCGAAACGTCGCTGCGCTTGCAATCCAAAGTCCTGGTCAGCCCGCTCCCGGGCGCCGGCGTGGCCTTCAGCCTGGCCCTCGTATTCTGGTACCTCAAGCGGCGCGCCGACCCGGACGGCGGCGGCAAAGCGCTCCCGCGCTGGTCGGGCCGGCTGTTTCGGCGGCCGTCTCCTTCACGCTCGCGCTGGGCGCCGCGCTCTGCACCACCGTCGTCGTCGGCGCCGCCGTCTTCGTGTCCGTCTTCGTGTCCGGGCTCGCGCCGCCCGATAGCCCGCTGCTCGTCGACGCCTACGCGAGGCACGTCGTCGCGCTCGAGTAGGTCGTCGTCTGCCTCGTGCTCTTCGGCCCGAATGTCCAGTGCAGGCCACCATCCTTCAAAGCCACGCCGTCGGAACAAACTGAAAGTGGAGAGCAGGGTGCCCCGTCGTCCTGCAAACCTACGCAACTGGACCCGATCCCATCATTGACTGTCCTCCCCCACAGGCCTTTACTCCTCCAGGGCTAGCGTTTCCTTCTCGCGTCGGCCAGCGCCGTGCTTGGGCACGCCTGTTTCCAGCGCGTCCTCGGCCTGTGCCTCGGAAAGGCCGACTCCATCTGCCGGCGCCTCCTCGGCCTGTTCCGTGCGTGGACTTGCCAGCACCGTCTGCTGGGGCTTCTTCGACGCTGTCGCCAGGGACTTCAGTAGGTGAGGACCCTTCTGTGGCATCCGACTGCCCTGCGAGACTGTCGCCGTTGGGAGACTCTGTCTGCACCGGTGACTGGCGTCCCTCTGAAGCCTGAAGCACTCGGAAGGAGGCACTCGGAAGGAGGCACTCGGAAGGAGGCACTCGGAACGGATATGCTGTCTGCTGCATTGTTCCATCCGGCCATGAAAGAGCTTCCAGATACCTGGCGAACAGAAGAAACAAGCGGAACAATGAGCAAACATCTTGTTTCCTTGCCTTTCACATTTCCCGGTCCAGCCTTTTATGGGCGGTAACACGCAAGGATATAATAACCACCTCCTACTACTCGCCATCATCACAAACCACCAACCAGCCCAAACCACCCGGACCACCCAGACCACCCAGACCACCCAGATCACCCAGATCACCCATACCACTCGACCACCCAAGCCACCCAGACTACCCAAACAGTCCAAACCATCAGGCCATAGAAATGGCATCTCAGGGCGGGGCGAATCTGTCATGGCATGAGCTGGGTCTGCGGTCTCTGAATTTGCCCTTAACCACAGATCTGGTTATTAGCATCGTTTGCTCCGCCAAACTCACCCCCAGCGACCTCGAATACCTCGGTATCGAGCGCGTGAGCTTATCAGGCAGTTGCATCTGGTCCATTACAAGGCCATTCGAGTTCTATGTGGACTGTCTTGTGCGCTGCGTGGCCAGAACGAGAGAATCAACCGAGGCGCACTACCAACAGGCCTTCCTGGAGTCGCTGAGGTCTGGCCTCTTTCGTATTCGCGCCGCCGTGAGCGAGTACGCCAGAGGCCTGCCAGACGATGAGCTCGACGAACACGGTCGCGATCAAACCCTTCAGGAGCTGCACGCGGCTCTCACCAGCGAAATCTTACGCCTTCGGCCGCTGCCACCACCGGATGAGACCGACGAGGTCACTGACATGTTGGCGGCATGGACGCCTTTCGACGAGACCGGCGAGCTGGCACAGCTGATTGCGAACCTAGAGCTGATGGCGAACGGGAGGGCTTCCGACCCAGAGGCCTGATTCTAGCCCGCTTCGCTTGCTTTACTGCTCTCCGCTGGCTGCTTGCCTCTGACTGCTTCGCCTCTTTGTAACTCTGTACTTGGACTGCACCTCGTTTTTAGGACACCGGAATAATCTACTCGACACACACTGAAGTCTACCATGTCTTTTGAGAGAACCTTTTGTGGAAAAGACTGCCCAAATTAAGCCATACATTCTATAATATCATCCCCTGACCCTGTTTACGTGTTGGCCCTTTTATCTGTTTTATTCCATCTGTTTTATTCCATCCACCTGGGACGCCACAAAAAATGTCAAGTGTACATACTTTTACGTATTACATATGTGATGGATCACTGAAAACTTGTGGAAATTCATAGACATGTGTGATGCATCATTGAGATGCATCATTGAAAACTTACAGAAATTCATCGTCCGGCCGGAAGGGGAGCATGGGATTGTGGACCACAGCGCCCAACGATCACGGGATTGTTGGGTTATGCCCAGGCATCGCCTGCTCTACCCCTGTCCGATAGATATCTTCCTCCTTGGACACGAATCAACGGTTATCCCTCCCTGCTAGAATGCAAACTTTGTTTACCATTTTGAAGGCATTCCCCGAGTCTGCGAACCGGAGTAACAAACTCTTACCAACACCAAACCCAGTGCAAACCACCAGATCTTGCCTGCCATGCCATGCTGCCCACTCCGTGGCGTCACAACTGCTGCTTGGATGGTACGATCGGGCAAGTCTAACTGGCGGATAAGTGCGCCAGGCGATTTAAAGTGTGAGCCCGGGGGGCACAAAGAAGGCTCGAGTAGTAAGGTTAAAGGTAGCATACAAAGGGACAATGGGATAGCACATGGTAAGCGCGGCTTGAAGGGAAAATATGGAAGCGCAGATCTTGAGCACGATGTCCTCCTGTGTATACATGTTGCCCTTTGTTATTTGGCTCCTCCTTATCTTTATAGAAAGGCAAAAAAAAAAGTATTAAATAGCTTGAATCCTCTCACTACCCATCGTCAGCACCCAAACCATCACAACCCAAACCACTCAGGACAACACAAACCACCCAAAACACGCGGAAGCTCAAGCCAGAACCACATTCAGGCCACAACACAGTACTACCTCGTTGTCGAAACCAACAACCACTCCAGCCGAGCCAAACATGGCGCTACGCCTGGACGAAGCAGCCTTCGTTTTCCAGCGGCTGGTCGAGATCAGCCACCGAGGTCGGCGGTTTTTCGGAGCGCCCGAAGGCACCCAATTCGAGACGGATCCCCCGCTGGCGTTTGTCCTCATGACGACCTGCGTCACCAAGATGCATCTGGCACACCGCTTCCGGCCCACCCGGGGCATCGAGGACCGCCAGATGAAGCTCCGCAAGGCGCTGGACTTCTTCCCGCTGCTCCAGCTGATGGGGCACCCGGGGCATCGGCAGCGACAGCAGCAGGCGCAGCTCGGCGCCGTGCTCTGTTCGCTGCACCGGGCGCTGGAGGCGTACATGGCGCAGCCGCCGACCGACGGCGGCGACGCCGAGACGGTCCGCGTCCTCGGGGACATGGAGCGGGACCTCGTGTCCCTGGCCAGCATCTGCGCGCGCATGGTGCACGAGCAGCTCCTCGGCATCTCCATGGCCTGCCGCGAGCAGCTCGTCCAGTGCAGGCTCCGCCACGGAGGCCAAAACGCCCGCCTGGCGCGGCTGCACCGGGACTTTGACGGGGTGACGTCGGCCGGCTGGGTGTTTAGGGCCTTCTGGAACAACTACTACCCCGAGGTCCGCGTCCTCCTCGAGGACCTCTGCACGCAGCTGGACGCCCAGATCGAGACGCCGCTCGGGCCCGAGATGGAGGTGGAGGGCGACGGCGACGTCGAGGGCAGCAGCCGCCTCGCGGCCGCCCTCGAGGTGAGCATCCAAGACTTGCAGGTCATGTCCTACCGGATCGAGGAGAACGATCAACTCAGCGGTAACTGGGAGATGGATCGCTGGGCGAGGTGGGCGGCAGCCATCATTCCTGGAGAGGCGCCGCCGCCCGGTGCCGAGCCTGCTCCTCACCAGGTGCCTCGGCAGGATCTGCTGGTAGAGGTGCCACAGCAGTCAGAGACTCCACGGCCTCTGTGGTTTTACCCCGAGGCACTCACTGTGAACGTTCTTCCGAGGGAACCGGCTCACTAGGTTGGATATTGAACCTTTGAGGAGCGAAGGAAGACTTGACACAGCATAATCAGCGGAGGAAGATTGCCAGAACATCCCGCACCAGATAGAGGCGAGTTAGCGAGTACCTAGGTAGGTACCTAGGTAGTGATATACATTAGACCCAAGACAATCAGATGCGCAGAAAATAAACAACATCTCATTCATTGCCCTTGCCCCCCTCATCGAAGTGACATTTAAATTTTACAGCCCAACATCAGACCAGAATCTTGGCCTCGGCCTTGGCCGGCCGCTCGCCAAAGATGGTGCTCCCGACGCGGACCTCGCCGCTGCCCATGGCGATGGCGCCCTCAAAGTCGTCGCTCATGCCCATGCTCAGCTCGAGCTCCTCCTCGGACGCCAGCCCCAGCTCGGCCGCCACCAGCGCGCGCTGGCCCACGAGGGCCGAGAAATCCTCGTTCTCTGTCTCGGGCGTGTAGGTGACGCGCGAGCGCGCGATGGCGCCGATGGTCATGAGGCCCAGGAGGCGCAGGTTCTTGCAGTCGCGCGCCACGGCCCGGCACAGCGCCGTCGTCTCGGCGCCCGGCGCGCACCCGGACTTGGAGTCCTCGCCCGACGTGTTGACCTGCACGTGGACGTTGAGGGGCTGCGGGGGTGGTGATTCCTGCTCGCCAGAAGACGAGGCGGCGGCGGCGGCGGCGGCGGTGGCGATGAGGTCGCCGCGCGCGCGGTCCAGCAGCTGCGCCTTCTTGAGCGAGTCGACCGACGACACGCACCAGAGGTTGGGCACCTTGGCGATGGTCTTGCAGTGCGTCGACTGCAGGCCGCCGATGAAGTGCCAACGGACGGAGCGCGGGAGGAGCCCCGCCTTTTGCACGAGCTCCTGGGCGTAGTTCTCGCCAAAGTCCACCTGCTGGGCGGCGCCCGCGTGCAGGCACAGGATGTCGTTGGCGGGCTTGAGCTTGGAGACGGCGACGAGCCTGACCTGTTTTGTTGGTGTGAGTGCATGAGCAGTCGTGAGTGCATGAACAGTCGTAAAGAAAGTGACTGAAAAAGTATGATTACCCAAAACGACTAACAACAAAAAACGACGTACCGGCCTGCCCTTTGCAGCACGTTGTATCCGCTCCGTCACGCCGCGGATCTGGTTGGTGAGAGCCAAGGCTCTCTCGGGCGTGACCTTCATCTCGGCCTCGCTCATCCTCCCTCCTTCGCTCCGCTCGCGTGTAGGTGAGGTGGCTTCTTTTCTTCTTCTTTTTTTCTCGAGGCGCTGCAACAGCAGACACACAGCCGTTGCAAAGTGCGCTACAGGAAGCCGGTAGCCGCGGCTGCAGGTTCGCAGGGGCGAAAAGTCGAGCAGTCACAGCTCGATCAATGGCTGGTGGGGTTTGTCGTCCGTATGCCGGGCCAAGCAAACCCGTTTTCTCGAGGGGATAGCTCAGCCAAGGTGGGCGAAAACCTCGGACTGGGGAAAAGTGGACCCTAAAACCTCAATCTTCAACAATTATACCGTTCGCCGTCTAAGCAATTTACAACAATACTTTCGTACTACCAATAGGCGCAGGTAGCAGCCAGATACGTAAACCTCCCAAACAACCCCATACACCGATAGCGAAATCCACAGGCTCTACAGTATTGCCGCTTTGGCCGCCGGAGCATTATGAGCAGGGTGCCGAAGCGGCAGCCCTCGAGGATCTCCACGGCATCTCAATCTACCGGGCTATCGAGGTGTCTTTTGCTTGATGGGCGAGGGTCACTGTGCTATTCCGTATGCTATCAGCCAAGATGGCCGGACTCTTGTATTCTTCTGGCTTCATTTAACAATACGGCTGAAGCAGATCCTATTAAGTTGAATTGTTGCGGGGTACAGAGGTTGCATGCGTGCCCGGCCCGATTTGTAGTGCGCCCCCTTGTTTCCCTCCCACCTCGCTACCAGTCTCGTCCCGCCGGGCATGGAGTTGAAGGCGCTGAAGCACCAAAAGAAGCCTTGGCTACTCGGATCCCGGCCTCGGCGAGGACCTGCCCGAGACACCCGCCCTCCGCTTCCGCCTTGCCACTTCGACCGGCCTTCCCCGCCGCAGTCAGGACTCGCCCCGTGTGCGACGACGAGCACGACACCATGGCGTCGGGGAGTGGCTTCTTGCGACGCGCTGACCGCCAAGGCGCCGCCTTCGGGCCCGGGCAGCCCCGTCGTCTGCGTCACGACGCCGCCGTTGCCCCTCTGCGTCCACCACAACGTCGACGTCACGAAGCGGCTGCGGCGCCAACGTCCTCTGGCGTGTCGCGGCCTGAATCGGTCATCGCTAGCGTCGGCTCCTCGTCGGCCGCGCGGACGTCTGCTGCCGGCGGCGCAATTGCCGAGTCTGGGCTTGGCTGGTAGCCGCAGCGCGTGAATAAAGCAGCTGCTAGTCGATTTTGCAATGTGCCGAGAGGCTTTAAGGTTATTCTTCGGCGCACAATCGTTATTCCTAGCCGACTCGGCGCACAAGCAGGCGGAGGACAAGAGGGAAAATCGAATCTGTCCAAGACTTCTTTCGAGATTTCACTCGTATAGATATGCAACAAGTTTTGGTCTTTGGGATGAGTGAGCAAAACCGTTTGCAAAGCAGAGCGGCCCGTTTCACCGTACTCCAATCGCTGCGCCTGCGCCTGTGCCACCAGGATAGCGGCGATGTATGGGTCCTCGCGTGAGATAGCGGGTTGCAAAGCCCGCCGCTGTTTTTCCACGCGTCGCCCAGCTGGCGAGTCGGGCGGTGGGAGGACGTAAGCACACGGCCAACGGGGGCGCTTTCGGTGGGATACGCAGAGTATGGACGTCCTGAATCGGCGAAGATCTGTCAAGTCGATATAGGCCAGGTGAGGCAGCTGCAAGGGTCCGGTGGGGGACCCGTCTTTCGGAGGGCGGGAAAAGGCGAAGCACTGCAGTGTGGCGACGGGGCTGCGGGCAAAATAAAAAGGCACCAAGTCGCTGGACCGAAAGAATTGCATGGCTTTGCAGTTAGCTGCCGCGAAAGCAAGGCTGGGAAAGTCGCAAGAGTACGAGGACCAGGCAGCCCGGGAAACCCACCAGAAGTATTCAATCCCAAGCGCCTGGAAGAGCAGCCACGCCAGAGCATCCCGTTTGGAGATGTAGGTTTGAGCAGAAACAAACTTGTGTGCTACGCGGTATGCTGGCTGCTTTTTTTCGGAGGGAGACGAGGGCTTCGCAGGGGCTGTCGTCGGCGCCGAGGGCACGACGGCGTCGGACTCTTTGGGCGTCGAGACAATGAGTCCCTCGTTGACGAAGTGGCAGCCCAGGAGGGCGAGGTGACGCGCCGTCCAGCAAAGTGGGTGGACATAAAGGCGTTCACGGGGGTGGCTGGAAATCAGCTGCGAGATGGAGAGATGGTCACGGCAAGCCGTTTCCTCGGCATCTTCTGCCAGCGCATCCATGGTCATGATCGAGACTGTGACTGGAGGTTTACCGAAACCAGAGGTAGGTCCACAGCGAACGTCGCGTTTTGTTGTGGTTCGTAATTGCATGTGCCAGGCTCCACCCTATTTTTGCATATGGCTTTTAGACTCGATACCGTTAGCCGTCACAGTTAAATTGTGCTAGCTAAAGTGGTATCGGAGAATCTGGATAACCTCCCGTTTTACTAGGTGTGATGGCACCCTGACTGGCCCGCGACAAGGGATCAGCTCAACTGACGTGCACAGTTTTCTGTCGGGTTGCGGGAAGTACCTTTTCAAGCAGGGGATGGGCGCCCTGGCTTGCTTAGGCTGTATTGGGTAAGGCGCGGCCACAATGTGCTTGGCGATTGACTGGGGGGTGGTTTCTTTTAGGGCGCTCATGCATGGCGTGCACGGACTTGACCCCATGCGACCCGGGCCCAGGCACGTGAGTGCATGGCCCACTAGACCTGGACCGCCCACGCACAATCTGCGCCCGTGGTAGGCAGAAATCGACATGCCACTTTCCTATTCTGGTATCGCCTACCGGGATACCTCACTAGGCACCCCGGCCGACACAGCAAAGGATACGGACCTTACCTCACGCGACGACAAGGACGACGATGGCGCCTCAAACCTACTTTGAGCGAGTTCGATCCCGCACCGCACTGCGCAAGCACATGGGCAGTACTGCACCGCTCCGCCAGTGGCTGCAGAGTAACCTGCGCTCAGCGAGCAGTTGGAGCACGACAGAGCTTTACGCCAGCCGAGTCGTTGTGCGCCATGTCCGAGGCGGCGTCCTACAGTATCCCGACCCGACCAAGACTGGCGCGGTCCTCACGGCGCCTCCAGAGCAGCCCGGCGAGGAACTGTCCAAAATTATTGCCCCGCTGCGGCCCGGCGAGAAACTCCCAACTGAGACGGAGCTCGTGCACCGGCTGGGCGGCACCGCGGGCGTGTTTTGGGCAGCGCTGCACTGCTGCACCCACCCACCCGCAGTCTCGGTCCCCCAAGATCGCATGGACAGCTGGCTGGAGGACACGACTGTGCAGCTCGCCTCCACGTTCCTGCGGCATGCCCTGATTTACTGTCCGCTGCAGCTCGTGTCCGCCGGCAATATCAATCCACGAATGTTGCTCGAATTTTCGGGCGTACGACAGCGCATGGTGGCCACCCTCGGGACTGGTGGCCTCTCGTTCGAGGCTACGGCCGACGGCAAAGTGGCCGTGCTATATCAAAATAGCACTGGCCACTTCACGGATCGCAAAGAGACAGTCGCTTTGCTAGACGCAAAAAAACGCGTCAAGAAGGTGCGGGAAGGGAAACCAATCTTCACCGACCAAGTTTTAGGTCAGATCGTCGGCGAGGCCCTCGCGCTACGATTGTCGCAAGCTGCAAAGGCAACGGGCCTTCGCAATGAGTTGAGTTAATGCACAACCAGTGTCGTTTTGTTTAACGAACCAAGGCTAACTTATATATTTTTTTCTCTCTCTTTGTTTATTCCATCGCTGCAGGACCATTGTTGTGATTAGCGCTGTAAAGCACTACTTGTGCTTTGTCGGTGTTCATATCCCCGCCGCGTATGTCGAGAAGAATCAAAATCGCGGAAACGAAGAGGACGAACATGGTCAAGAGGGCGAGCAGGGCGAGCAGGGCGAGGAGGACGGGGAGGACGGGGAGGACGGGGAGGACGAGGAGGACGAGGAGGACGAGGAGGACGAGGAGGAGAGCCAGGATGAGGACTGCGGGGAGATTATCACATTGCGTGTTACCGACTGGCTCGACCTCAGCACGGAACACTGCCGCCAGCTTGCTTGCAAAAACATCGCAGCTTTTGTCAATTGGCAGCAAAAGGTTTCGCAATCAGCTTAGCTGAAAAGATGGAGATGGGATCGATGCTGATAGAGTCAAAACAACAAGAACCAACTCGTTTGTGTTGGAGTCAAGGTAGTGAATTAGTCAAAATTAACGGTGTGACATTAATCATTTTAAGTTCATTTTTGCACAAGCTTTTTTTTATAAATTTACATAGTTTTATATATTTCTGCTATTTTTTTTCTATTTTTTTACTATATATAAAATAAAGTTAAATAAATTTATAATTAAGAGAATAAAAGAATAAAAGAATAGAAAAAAAAAAGAAAAGAATAGAAAAAAAAAAAGGTAATAAATTAATAAAAAAAATGAATAAATTAATAAAAAAGAAAATAAGGAAATAAAAAAATGAAAAAATGAAAAAAAGCGATAATATTAATAGTAAATTAGTAATAAAACCAGTATTAAAATTAAAAAAAAATAGAAAAAAATATAATAAGTCGAAGTTACGGTAGTAACTTAACTTACTGACTTAATTCCTAACCCGGTTGGAGTCATCTTGGAAAAGCTTTCGAACATACCTCACCCAGAACAGTGGGGCTGCTGAAGCGCTTGCGCTGACACGATCGTGTCGGGCAGCAGTAAGGATGGATACGCCTGATATTATTCATTTTTCTAACAACAAACCTCCCCTTCGACCGCCCCCCCCCTTCGACCGCGTTTGACTCGATGCGGTGCAGCGACATTTCCTTATGGCTAGGCGGAATCGAGCCCACCGACTTGACAGCTTCCGACGACGCCCGTCCAGCGAAGCGAAAACGAAGTCTTGGCGACTTTCATACACCACCAGACTCGTTACCCGCCGGCCTGGCGCCCGCGCATGAGGGACAAGTGACACCCAAGAGCAGAAATGGGAGCAGGAGCGGGCGGACACAAGATGGCGATGCCGACCCGAACGAAACACGGCGCCCACTGAGTGTCCCGCTCGGCCGACCACTGCAGCTACGACGGCTCCGGTCCGCCTCTTCTTCCGACATTACCGATAGCTCCAACACCCACAGCGTTGAGTCTTCGACTACCAAAAAACGAAACAAGATGTACGAGATCAGGTCTGGGTTCAGGGTTCTCCCTTTTAGCACCCGCGATTCTCGAACTGGCGACCAGGGCGCACTCGTGGCCGACTTTTCCCGCATCTCCAATGGCCGGCAAGGCTTCATCTCGCGGACGAGGCAAAGAGACATCGAGGAGGACGCAGCACGTACGGGCGTCTTGGAGGAACTCCCGCTCAACCCATACTTTGACGCGGTGGAGGGAGGACAGCGACAAACGGGCGAGATGTCGGAAAGCATGGAGTCGCCCGGTATATGTGAGGTGCGAAATATACATCGGACGGCGGTCGAATATGAGTATTTGGGACAAGATGAAGCGGCTTGGAATGCGGCCGTGCATTATCCTCTGCTCCGACTGGCCATGGGATACGAGATGCTTGTCGACGTGGTGCCTTGGTGAGTAGAATCTCTTTTATCGTCCTCTCTAACAACCCACTAACTCGACTGCAGCGCCTCAGCCACTATTCTTGATGACTTTGTTCCCACAGGCACTCTAAACGGAAACAAGGTCGACTTCTGCCTTGCGTTCAACCCGCGGTGGCCGCTGCGACCCGGCAAAGTGGGGAAGACAACAGCCTCTGAGGCCATTAACAAGGTCCGTCTCCAAACAGATGACATTTGCGTCAACCACACAGACTTCAGTCCCCTCCTCGAAAGCCCCATCGCCGTCAGCATCAAGGCGAAGCGGGCGGACGGTCCGGGGACCAGGGACGCGCAGAGACAGCTGGGCATTTGGCAGGTTTCCCATTGGGTTTATCTGGAAAGCATGGCAAGCAGCATGGACGGCTTGGATTTTCTCCCCTCGATCCACGTCGTGGGGCACAAGTGGGAGTTTACCGCGTTTAGCATGAAGGACGGGACGCCCAGGCTCTGGGCCGGGTTCCCCATCGGGGACACCACCACTGTCTTTGGCGTCTACCGTATCATTTGGTGTCTCCGGCGGCTTGCGCGGTACTCGGTTGAAAAATACTGGCCCTGGTTCAACAAGGCGATTCTTGAGCAGGCGATTCTTGAGCAGGATTGACATTATGGGTAAGTCGTGACGGGGATGTTTTCCGGCCATGTTGGTATCCATTGTTCGAGCTATTTATATTTTCGAAACGCGTAGGCTTAGATGTACCGAATTCAAGGCTCGAGGCAGCTCATGGCCGGCCCCAAACTTCACTTTTTATACGGATTCTTTGATTCAACGTTCCGTTCATCCACCCCTTGTCCGCCCTCTTCTCGGACCAATCACAGCGTCGGCAGACGGCGTGCCTCGACCTTCTCACCCTCGATGGCCAGCGATGGTGTTGCGAGGCTGCCACCATGGGGGCCCGACGAGGCCGTCGTGCAGCCGACAGGCCTGCGGTCCTTGCTCGCCGTGTGCCTCCACGTGACTCCCCCTGACACTAGGCAGACTCGGATCGCACTAGCAGTGAGCGGGCTTGGCTCCCTCATGGCAGAGAGTCTAGTGACTGACTTTGAGCTCAAGGGCTATACTGGCTTCATCACCAGCCTGGTTTGTGTTACCAAGTCATTATTGTTTGTATTTATTGCAAGTCCAGCACCTCGTTCGTTTGCCTGATGTGAACTAGAAATGTGTTTTATGCTCCAGAGCCCAGAGGAGCTGAGAGCAGACCAACCTGGGGTCATAAATGCCCTGCTTGTGCCCCTTCTCATACTATTTTTGGCCATCTCTGCCGCCCGCTCGTCTCTACACACTAGCTAGAGTTCACCTGATCCTTAGCTCCGGGCACGAGCTTCCATTAGCCATCCGACGATGGAGTACACCAGGAGAGCCCTCGCAGCTCTTGGCCTAGTCAGGGGCCCCGCAGCAGCAGCAGCAACAGCAGCAGCAACAGCCCCGACGAGCAACACCTCTCCCGCCTCGGGGCGGACCGACAACACGCAATCCCCGGACCAGGTCGGCCCGGACGGCAAGAGGCGGTGCCGCTTCTTCGACGAGCAGCGGAGCGAGCCCCACCCGGAGTGCTGCGGGTGCGGCCACATACTCCGGGACGCGCCGCCCTGCATGTGCGACATTTGCCACGCGCTAAACTTCCCTGTGCCTTCTTCTTCTTCTTCTTCTTCTTCTTCTTCCACTAGCAGGCCCGTGACGCCCAAAAAACAGGGGGCAGCGAGCAGCAGCAGCAGCAGCAGCAGCAGTAGCAGCGCTAAGCCGGCGGGAGCAGCAACCCAGACCGGCCGGGACGTCGTGATGCCCGCATCGGGCCCACGCCGCCGTCCCCAGATGGGAGAGGACGGCGGCCGGCAAGCACGGCTGCTGCTGTTGCGGCAAAGCAGCAGCAGCAGCAGCGGCACGGACACGACCGCATCGTCGTCCGACTGGGTGCGGGTGGGGTCGCCGGCGGCGGCTCGGGACGGAAGTGCCGCTCTGGATCTGCCGGGTGCCGACGACGATTGGGGGGAGGTTCGGGACAGAAACGAGAGCAGGCAGGAGGGGGACGGGGAGACGGCGTGGCGGGCTTACCAGAGTCGCCTTTTGGCGCGGGGGAGCCCGGCAGCAGCGTCAGGGGGCGTCAAGAAGAGCGTGAGGTCCATGGCACCAAGAGACCCATCCTGACCATGCTGGCATAAATATCAATGTAATTCTGTCCCATGTAAGCAAATCTAGTCTATATCTCCTAAAGACAGCCGGTACGTCGGTAAGTTGGGCTAGGAACAAACTTGTAGGTACTTTTAGGCATAATAAAAAAAACGTATAAAGGGAGGGCATCTCTGCAGGTTTTGTTTTTGGTTGGCGGGCTGATCCCCCCGCTGTGTGTGTGCGATGCCTCGTTATTGCCACCAGATCCGGACGCCATTCATTCCCACCCGCTGGATACTGGATACAAAAAATACCCAAAAAAAAAAAGAAGAAGAATCAAATCATCTCCCACCCGTCGGGCACATCATCGTCCGCCTCGTGGTCGTCGTCCCGACCGTGCGGCAGGTCCTCCTCGAGCACCTCCCAGTCGCGCGAAACACCACCCGCCGCCGCCGCCGCCGCCGCCTGCTGACCGCCACCGCCGCCGCCGCCGCCCCCCAGCTTCCCAATCGCGCTGATGGCGGCGCCAAACACGCTGTCGGTGATGGCCGTCACGGCCTCGCCCAGCCCCATCGAGATCAGGGCCTCTGGCTCGGGCGGCTGCGGGTGGGCGCGGACGAGGGACAGGGTCGTGATGCCGTGGGTGGCGGCCAGGTCGCGGGCGGCGGCCGTCAGGTCGCAGGCGCGGCGGCGGTCAAAGACGACGGCGGGGATCACGTCGTTGGCGTCGACCGACGCCTTGCGCAGCACCCGGTCCCGCACACCCACAGGCAGCGACCCTTGCCACCGCCCGTAGATGAGCGGGTGCGGCAGCGACTGGCGGAAGCCCCTGTAGGTGTCGAACCCCCACCCCCACGCGCCGCCGCCGCGGCCAAAGACCAGGGGCGACCGGGTCTTGTCGTCGTCGGCGTCGCCGGCGCCTGCATCGGGTTTGGGGGGGCTGTTGTAGTCGCCCCTGTTCCAGCCCTCGCCCTCGAGCGGCGGCATGTCCCCGGCGGCGGCGGCGTCGCCAAGCGTGCCGTCCCCGAACCCGTGGGCGCAGAGGTCGGCGGCGGCAGTACCGGGCAGGTCGGCGTGCGGCGGCAGGGCGGCCCACGACAGGCGGTAGAAGTGGAAGCACATGAGGGCCAGGTCCGTGTAGTTGAGACCCAGGAGCAGGGCGGCCCCGCGCACCAGCTGGGCGGCCGCATCGGCGGCGCGCACCTGGGCGGCCGACGGGTAGCGCAGGCTGCTGCGGGCGCTGCTGCAGCGGCGGAGGCTGGGCTCGTCGTCCCCGTCGCGCGGCCGGCACTCCTCGCAGCGCCACACAAAGTCGTACAGGCGCTTCGACATGCGCGCAAACGACTCGAGGCTCGCCGGGTTGACCGACGTGAGCGTGGGGCGCTGCGGCAGCTTGTAGTCGATGCACAGGAGGTACTCGAGGATCAGGCGCAGGTCGCACATGGACGGCAGGTCCGGGAGCGGCGTGTCGATGTCGGCGCGGGGCTTGCTGGAGAAGGGCTCGGCGGTGGCGGCGGCGGCGGCGGCGGTGGTGGTGGTGGTGGTGGTGCCCCCGAACATGATCAGGTCGTTCTCGGGGGGGAAGAACAATTGCGTGACCTGGAGCGGGCTGTACGGCCGGCTAATCTCGGGGAACTCGCCGGCGCACTCGCGGTCGAAGAACAGGATTGCTACCACCTGGAAGAGCAGCAGGTGCTTCTCGTCCTCCTCGGTGCCTCCCCGGCGGGCGAACCATCTGTTGCAAGGCCGGGCACTGGTCAGCTGAAGGAGTATACTACAGCCCAAGGTACTACAGCCCAAGGTACTACAGCCCAAGGTACTACAGCCCAAGGTGTGCTGCTCATGGGCTGTTAAACCTCGTCCCCCTTCAAATCCCCCTCCCCCCTCCCCCCAGGACCGATAAGAGCAACTCACCTCGCATAGCCAGGATAGACTTCACGATGGATTCGCTTCCCCGCGCGGGCCCAGTTGGGGTTGGGCGAGATCTTGCCGGTGGCTATCTGGCACACCTCGGTCTCGGGCCGCAGCGCCCGGCTCGGGCGTGAAGACATGGCGGCGGTGCTCGGCAGCCAGGCGGGCTCGGGCGGCTGCGGCCTGGGGACGATGGAGGCTTTGGAGTCGGCGTTTACGGCCCGCGGCATTACCATATAGGCCCTCCGAATCTGACCAAATCCTGCGGGGGCGCGTCGTCGGAGTGAACGGTCGTGTGGTGGTGCCATGGGGGAGCGTTCACAGATTTGGACGGGAGGCCAAGTAGAGACGGGAGGCCAAGTAGAGACAGTAGGGTTACAGGCAGGATAGATGGATGGTCTTGTCTAGGTGTGAGAGGGATCAGGTTCAGAGTGAGTGTGCCGAAAAGGTTTATGGGGGGGAGAGCCATGGTCGATGATGAGGCGACGGCAGGCTACACGTCGGCCAAAGCTTGGAGAGTGATGATGCTGCCCGGGGCAAGCCAGAAGCTTAAAGGAGCCATTGAAGGCGCAGTTGACGAGCGAACAGTCAAAGGGGGTAAACAAAGAGAAGTGGTGGCTGAACAAGAACCAGCCAGCGTGTATCTCGCCGTGACAAGGCTGCCCGGGAGGCGGCAGACAAAGAGCGGTACAATTCCCTGTGGAGGCATCAAAGGCGCGGCCTGGACCAGACCACGCAGGTTACTTTGCGGGAAAGAGCAGTCGGCTGGGTTCTGGGTCGGGTTGACTGCCTTGGACTGGGGTGTTCTTGGCTTCCGCGGCAGGAAGGCAGATGTTTGACTCCTAGTATCGTGCCGTGGTGTTTGCCAGTGCAGCCGGAGCAGGTAAGCCGGCGCAGTTTGCGTTGAGGTGAGAAGCGACCTGTCAAAAGCAAAAAAGCAAAGAAAAAAATGAAAGAAAAAACCTGTACGCCAGAACCTTTGCAGCTTGCACAAGGTTCGCACTGCCGCCGAAAACAAAGCGGCAGCCAAAAGTGAAAGCAGTCCGGCAAGCAGGGCAACTGCCTAGATGCTGTGAGATCGGGATCCAGCCAAGAACTGTCGTGAGCGAGATGGTGAGGGGTGACGGTGGTGACGTGTGTGATGTCAATGAGAGTCGTGATGAGAGTCGTGATGAGGATGGCAAACATTGTCGGCGGTCATTACAACAGACTCTAAGTGAGTTTGATTGGCGGTTGCGGCTGTATAAATGTTGGGATGTGGTCGCTTCCTTGTAGCCGTTCCTGCATCGAGATTTTTGCACGAGCATGAAGCTGTCTCGTGCGAGCAAGACGTGCTATGAAGACGGCTACACAGTGGAACACCCCTGACTTGTGGAATCCCCTGGGTCCAATGAGCTGACGCGTTTGGCAGGCGGAGCCGTACCGTTGGTGGTGCGTCGCATCCGCCTCAGTCTCCAGCTCCTGATGTGGGCTGCATGTGGGCTGGTCTTTTTGACTTTTGACCCAACATGCACACCCGTCGTCCTCGGTGCATCGTTCATAGGCAGCTGCCCGCTCTCGTTCGGGCCTCTTGCCGACAGTTGAGCATCAAATCTCACACGCACTGATGCATGCACTGATGCATCAACCCTAGGCTCTCTCTGATTGCCCCTTGTTTCGTACAGTTGATTCCTTATTCCAGCTGCCGAGCATCAGCCTCAGTCTCTAGTTTACTTTTCTTCTCGTCTCTCCTTGAAACCAAATAAGCCACCCGCCTCATTGGCCCAACATGCCAAAGCAACACGTCCTCTTTGGACGCCCCGTCCCCCGCGTCACCTTCCCGCTCATCGCCGTCGGCCTCTTCGCCGTCTTCTCGCTGCTCTTCACCCTCCCCAGCAGCATCCCGACGGGCCCGAACCTATCAAAGTTCGCTGACCTCAAGGCCTCGATCCCCAAGTTCAGCGGCACGTCGACGTGGAGGGGCCGCTTCAATCCCTTCAGCCCGCCCTCGCACCCGCCCCCGCGCCAGAAGAACGACACGCTCGGCGAGTTCTCGTGGTACACCAACTGGAAGTGGCTGACCACGCCCTTCTCGTCCACCATCACCCTCGACGAGAACCGTTCGCTGCTGCCGCCCCTGCGCGCCCGACCCCCCATCTACTGCTACTATGACATCACGTTGGAGAAGGACCAGGCGAGGAAGGATGCCGAGAGCGCGCTGCTGCTCACCTGGAGGAGGGCCTGGTGGGCGCAGGGCTTCCGCCCCATCATCCTGAGCTCTGCCGAGGCCAAGAACAACCCCATGTACGACGAGGTCCAGAAGCTCAAGCTGGAGCCCGCGCTCGAGACCGACTTTATGAAGTGGCTCGCGTGGGAGAACATGAACGGCGGCCTGCTCGCCCACCACCTGCTCTTCCCCATGGGCCCGTACCAGGACCCGCTGCTCGTGTTCCTGCGCCGCGGCGAGTACCCCGCCCTGACGCGCTGGAGGGACCTCGACGACGGCCTCTTCGCCGGCCCCAAGACCAACATCGGCGCGGCCATCAAGCAGGCGCTGGCGAACCCCAAGCTCGGCGCGGCCAAGGACTTTGTCACCACGGCGGCCGTGGACAAGAAGGACGACGTCTTCAGCGTCGAGACGGCGGCGCCCGCGTCGCTCGCCTTTTACTCGGAGAAGAACATGGGCTCCAAGTACGGCCCCGTCGCCAAGGCCATCACCGAGGACCGCGCCAAGGGGCTCGGGCAGCTCGACCGGCTCGTGGCGGCGCACCTGCAGGTGTCGTTCCAGAACGTCTTCTCGGACGGCGTGGCCGTGCTCAAGCCGCTGCCGCTGCCGCCCCGCTCTGTCGCCGCCATGCTGCAGCCCGCCGCCCTGGTCGCCGCCCGCCTGGCCGCCTGCCTCGACAGCCCGCTGCCGGCGTCGTGCCCGCCCAACCGCGCCGCCGCCGCGGCTG